CAAAAAATAAAAATAGAACAAAACAATTTTTTTAAAAATTTACAAAAATTTCAAAATTTCTCAAAAATCTATTTTTTGAAAGTTTTGCAAAGTTTTTTTTTTAATAATTTAGTTTTCGGTAAGGAAAGTTCCAGCAATTTGCCTTAAGGCACGATGCCATGCGCTACTAGTTTTCTCAACTTTTAATCGCATATACATAATTATTATTTATGCTTGTATAGTAAATTAGACAACTTACGCGTAAAAACAAGTTTTGAATTAATGACGCTTTAGAGTTCATAATTCTTTTTTTAATGAACTACAGGATTCTCGAAGCGAAATCTTGAATAATACCATAACTAGTGGTGCATGGCATCATACGATTTAAGAAATTTTCAATGTTCTCGAATAAATAATCATAAATACTATAACTTGATGTGCCATTTTTTCAAAAACAGTAATGTTTAGCTTTTTTTACTTTGTATTTTTCACACAGGTGAACCTGTTTCTGCCATAAACTATAACCTGCATATCTCCCTATTAATAGGAATCAAATGTTTTCTGAAATCGGTTGAGAGGTGCTTTCGAAAACCCGAAGATTTGATACATCTGAAAGTTTTTTTTTTATTATTTTATTTATTGTTTTGTCAATCAAGACTTAAAAAGTCTTATAATACAAAATTGCTTATTTAGGTAATAAAGAGAACAATAATATAAAGTAAACAGTATACATAATAAGAAATAATAATTAAGAAACTAAAGGAAAATTATAAAGTGAAGTAAGAAATAAAAATATAAATTAAACAAAAATGGCGTGGTGAAAGGTGTTGCCGACTTAAATTCGCCGGAACACGCATTTGTTCATTGCAGCGGTAGATCGACGGGCCATTTCCTTTTCAGGCGTCTAGTGGGTCTGGGCAACATTTTGATGGTTGGATTTGCGTGGACTTGTAGTTTGTTGTTGTAGGCTAAGCTTCTTGATATTATTTGTTCATGAACTGTTCTGATATTTAAATCCTTATGTAGGCAGAAGTTGGTGATATACCACGGTGCATTTGTCAGTAAACGTAAGATTTTGTTTTGACACCTCTGGATGATGTTGATGTTGGATTTACTGGCACATCCCCAAAGTTCTATGCCAAAAGTCCAGATGGGGATGATAGCCGTTTTGTAGATGAGGATTTTATTCTCAAGTGATAAATTACTTCTTCTGCCTACCAGCCAATACAGATCTTTTATTCTCAGTTGAATTTGTTTTTTCTTGTTGAGTATATGCTCCCTCCAGTTTAATTTAGTGTCGAGGTGCATACCTAAATATTTTACACTGCTGCAATTCGGAATTATTGAATTATTGAGGAGGACAGGAGGACTATTGTGCTTTCTCAAAGAAAAAATAATGTGTTGAGATTTGTCGGTGTTGATCGAGATCTTCCATTTGTGGAGCCAGGATTCTAGTGAAGTAAGGTAATTTTGGATTTTATCAGTGGCAATTGCAATGTCCATGTTGTTCGAGATTATTGCTACGTCATCGGCGTATGTGCAAATCATCAAATCTTCATCAGTAGGTAAATCTCTTGTGTAAAGAATGTAAAGTAGTGGACTCAGGACGCTGCCCTGTGGAACACCACATTCTATGTGGCGTGTGCTTGAATAGTCACCTTTAACTCTTACGCGAAATTTTCTATTACACAAAAAGGAGTATAGAATGTTGAAGTAATTGGGAAAAGTAGTTTGTATTTTAGAAAGGAGTCCTGTGTGTGATACTTTGTCGAAAGCTTGACTTACGTCAAGAAATACTGCTACTGCATGTTTTTTATGATTCAAAGCATCCAGAATATAGGTGACTGTTCTATTACATTGTTGGGTTGTTGAGTGGTCCTTTCTGAATCCAAATTGGTGGTTTGGGATCCATTTTTCACCTGGATGATCTTCGCCTAGTCTGAGTAAAATTAGTCTTTCGAGAATCTTGGATAAAACTGGTAAAAGACTAATTGGTCGGTACGAACTGGCATGATGCGGATCTTTATTTTTCTTAGGAATCATTATTATTTCTCCAGTTTTCCAAGCTGTAGGCCAATAGTTGAATTCAAGAATTGCATTGTAAATATTGGTTAAAAATATTATAGAGTTTTTTGGCAATTCTTTTAGCATTTTTGGAGTGATATTGTCGATGCCAGGGGAAGACTTGTTTTTTAATTTTTTGATTGTGCAAGCAACATCATTTGGAGAAAAATGTTTTATTCGTTTTATTGAGTCGATATTTGATTGCCACGAATTATTGCAGACTGGACCTAGGGACAGATTTGTGTCGGTAAAAATATTTTGCAAGTGATCTGCAAAAGCTTCAGCTTTCTCCGTATTTCTTTTTGTCCATGTATATCCATTCAGAGATCGAATCTTCAGTGGAGGGTTCGTTAGTGTTGGTTTCCCTTTGATTTTGATAGGCCTCCAAATGGAGTTGTCAAACCTGTTGAGTTGCAATAGATATGTCTTGAAAGCGTCGTTTTTCCAAACCTTTACTTTATTCTGTAATGTCCTAGTGAGTTGGTTTAACTTAGTTTTATCTTGAGGCTTGTGTGATAGTTGCCATATCCTTCTTGCTATTCTCTTCTGCGAAATTAGTTTTTTAATTTCGGAAGGAATAATAGGTGTGGAATTTTTCGTGCGACAGGTTGGAGTAACTAACTTTGAGGATTCTTTTAAAACTGTTGTGAATTTATTTATCTTGTAGTCAATGTCGGCTGAACTTTTCGGTCTGGAATGTGGAAAAATTTTTGAATCCAGTAAAGCCCTGAAGTGATCCCAATTTGTAAATTTGTTGTGGAGGATAGCTGAAGGTTGTTCATTTACAGGAATTGAGCTGAATGTTAACACAATTGCAGAATGATCTGACGAAAGATCATAGCTGTTCTCTATGTCAAAATTATTTAAGGAGATACCTTTAATTATGAAAAAATCCAGAAGATCTGGTACTTTGTCTGGATCAGAGGGCCAATAGGTAGGACTGCCTGTTGAAATATGGAGGAGATTGTTATTTGATATTGCCATGTGAAGTTCTTTTCCTTTCGAAGTTGTCAACCTGGAGCCCCAAGCTGTGTGTTTACAATTATAGTCACCTCCTAATACAAATTTGGATCCTAGTTGTTCAAAAAAGGACGAATAGTCATTAGCTGAAATTTTGAACCTAGGAGGGCAATATATCGCAGAAATGGTTATCTCAAATGATCTTGTTTCTAATAGGATTTGTGTTGCTTGCATAGATTCTTGTTGGACATTCGGAAGTGCAAAATGTTTTAAGCTGCTTTTGATTAATAATGCTGATCCACCACGAGCGCTACCACTTGGATGGTTTGAATTATAAGTGATATAATTTTGAATTTTAAAATATGTTTTTTCAGTAAAGTGGGTTTCCGAAATGAGGAGAATGTCGATATGATTTAGTTTCAGGAAACACTCCACTTCATATTTGTGAGGAATTAAACCATTAGCGTTCCATTGAGCGATTTTAATTAAGTTTGCCATTATTCAATTTATTAATTAGAGTGGTTAACATGTTGATAACAAGGCTATTTTGTTGCATAAGTTGACTGAAAAAAGTCTTGAATTCTGAGAGAAAAGACGATAAAGTGGTAGAATCGGAGTCCGTGATTGGATTCGAGGAAGTACGTTGCTGATTTCTTGTGGCGTTTGCATAGGAAACTGAGGGGTTAATTGGATTAGGAATTGTGTTGAATTTATGCGAATTGATTTTAGTTGTGATTGAAGGAGTGGGATATGGGGCGTTATTTGTTTCTTTATACAGATTTCTATTTCTTGGCTCGATATTTTCTTTGTAGAAGCTACATCCTCTGTAATTAGCAGTATGCGCACCGTCACAGTGATAACAGTGGGCTGGAGTATTAGGGTCTTTAGTACAATCTTTTGTTCTGTGATTTTCACCACATTTTAAGCAAATAAAAGGTCTGTTGCAGTAAGCCTTAGTATGATTATACATTTGGCAACGTGTGCATTGCACAATGTTGCTGGATTTGCGCGGTGGTTCTACCCTGATTATATTATTTGATATTTTATAAACATTGTATATATTTTTATTGTTTTTATTGGGCTCTAGGTCTACAAAAAACATGTTCAACGGCTCTTTAGTTAACCTATGCCTTATATTGAGAATATTTCTCACGACATGACCCTGTTTTAGTAATTCTGATTTTATCAGCTCCGTGTCTGTAGAGAAATGAACATTCCTGAGTACTACCCTGTATGCCTTTTCTTGTTTTAGTTGATAAGTGTGATAAACTACGTTAGTTTGTTTTAAATATTTCGAGAGTTCACGAAAATTATCAACAGTTTGGCATATGATTTTAAAGGTGTTATTGGCGAGGCTTCGAAGATAGTACTGACTTGGCGGAACTATTTTGTTAAACGTGTTTAACATGTCCGCGGGATCTTCAACTCCGTAAATAAATATTGGTGGAGATTTATTAACGGTTGTTACAGCAGGGGTTTTGTCTTCTACATTTATTGATGATAACGCAGAAAATCTATTATTAGTCGATATATTAATTTGTAAAGGAACATAAGAAGTTTTTCGTTTTTTTGGCGTGAATACTTGCCAAGGGTTAGGATTAGAATCAGTAGTTGGTTGTTCCGAAGAATGTGAATCGTCTTCCATATTGTTAAGATTTTCCGATGTTTGCTCCAAGTTTTCCGAGTTCTCTTCTGATGAATGAATAGATCGGTTAACGTCAAATTTATTAAGATCTTTGTTGTTATCAGTAGAATTTGAAGAATTCACATGAGATGAACGTGATGAAATAGCTATACTTTTGTGGTTTTTTATTGAAATCTGTTTTCTGAAATCACTTTGTCTTGAAGAGTAATTTTCACTTAATTGGTGAGTAATTATTGCATTATTTTGTATAGGTTGTGAAATCAAACCTGATCCGCTTGCTAAAGGTATTTCTTCACTTGGATCTGCAGAAATATCCATATCATTCAAAACATTAAACGATTGAACAATAGGTATGACCGGTTCTCACAGGTAAAAAGGTAAACTGCACTGAAATAATGTTTTTATTTAGAATAGAACACGATGTGCACCGTACGGCTGTCGGCGTTGGAATGATGACATCTGAAAGTAAGTAATGTTTCTGAATTTGAATTAGATGTTAACAATAAATCAATTTAGTACATTTCAAATGTTGCTATATTTTAAAACATTTAGAGCTATCATCATCTATATTTTGTTCATGTTCAAAAATAATTCTCTAGTTTGCATAAAACAGAAGATATTGATTTTGGTCTCTTTGTTCTAATTTATCTTATCCAATATTTATTCATTCACTAATTTTGCGATAACCCTATGGGTAAGTTATAGCAATCGCGAATAAACGAAAATGATATTTTTTGTATATCATTTCTTTTCAAAGCCTTCTGAACATTTTTCCATAACTTATTATTACAAAAAAGTGTATCTGTGCGTGTGTAGTATTTCTTTATGTATGAATACAATTTTTTATCGAGGATTTTGGGAGCACGGACGGGACTTAAATTTAGAACGGGTTAAATTTTTGGAAAGGCAGGTTTAGCGATTAAGGAGATACAGAAATAAAAAGTGCGCGTAAGGTTCACATGCGATTGAAGTAAAACTTTTTTGCTATTATACGAAAAATATTTAATATGGTTAACATTTTTCAATGTCAACCATTATGCATATTTATATAATAATAAATTATAAATTTATAATAGCATTAAAAATATTTATAATATTTAAAAACAATAATGCAATTAAAGTCTTACTTCAAATACTACATGATTGGTTTGCCAATGGAATTAGCATCTAGGACTTGAACTTTTATTAGAGAAATAAAGTTATTGCTGATTAATAAATTTTATAATATTCGTTCAGACAGTGAACTCAAAATAATCTTGAATAATTTCATTCACATTAGCAATAAATAAACTCCATTATAAAGTACATCTGTAAATGAATGATACACAGCTACACAAACTATTGTTGTGCTTGATCTCTTGTTTAGAGTAATAATCAATAATCAATTTATTCTTCATTATTTATAAAAATATGCAACTTTGTAATACTTAATAGCCATCATAAACGAAAAACATAGACTTGCTCTAAAATTTCTAAAGTGTCTGAGATATAATTCTGAAAAAGATATATACTGGGCATGTTAGAATAAAGCTGTGAATAAAAATGCAGTGAATTATTATATCAAACAACGCCTAAATAAATATTGTTTTCATAATTTCACTTGTCATGTAATTGTGTTTGAAGAACTTCATGTAATTAAAATTAACAATAATTGATTGCTTATTTTTTTTAGTTTTTTTTGCTGACGATACAGTTTCATTCTTTGAACAGTTGTAGTATCTGTCTTGCAAATAAAAATAATTTTAATATCCTCAAAAATATATAGTAACCACGAATAATACAAAGTACTTCAATACAAAGTACTTACCTGTCTTACACGGCACAGATTTCCATCGGCTTTATTTTGCATTATAATTATTTATGGGAAAAAATATTCTTCCAATCCAGACATTATTATTCAAGTTGTACTAATATTTAACCTTAAAATGCAAGCAGGGTCAAATTGTTAGAGGAACTACACTCCATAAAAACACTGATCAAACCCTTTAATTTTACAAGAATATTGCAAAATTTGAATTGTTATTCTTACATAATTATATTTGTTAATGACAGTAAAATTAAGATATAAGTGATTAATATAATATATACGAGGTGTGTGTTCAAAAAGTACCCGGAATTACTAATAATTAAATTTCGCGGGTCTGGAGTGTGTCTGATTGTCAAAATTTTTTTTTTATTGTGTTGTTATACATGCCCCTAAAGTATGATGATGAATTTTCAGCTATATTCACTGTTTACTTTGTCTGTGGTAGTCGCTAAGGTTCGACGTGTTTTTCTGAGCTCGGCGATTTTTACAATGGAAGAATTGAAAAGTCAAAGAATTTGTATTAAATTTTGCGTAAAAAATGAAATAAAGTGTTGCAAAGTGCAAAAATTCACCAGATATGGCTCCGTGTGACTTTTTCCTATTCCCAAAGTTGAAGAGACCCATGAAAGGACGGCGGTTTTCCTCGATTGAAGAAAATGCTGAGAGTGCTCAAGGACATATCAAAAAGTGAATATCAAGGGTGCTTCGAAAATTGGAAAAAACGCTGGCTAAGTGTATTATATCTGGGGGGGACTACTTTGAAGGGGACCACATTAATGTAGACGAATAAATAAATATTTTTTTGAAAAAACGAAAATTCCGGGTACTTTTTGAACAGACCTCGTATGTTACCTATATATAGTATATTATGTATGTGGCTACATAAATGTTTACCAGAGGCCAATAAAGAAATAAAAAAAAATAAAAAAATAAAAACAAATAAAAAACCTTAAAATGTAATGACATTGAATACCAATAAATGAGCAATATGCTTTACGATTTCGGTGACGTACGCACGTATAAAGTGAGGCATACAAAGAAGCCTCGCACAAATCCAGTAATCACAATCGAAGTCGTATAGAGATATTACCGAGAACGAATGACGAATCATTGGCACTCGATCTTGCCGTAACTCATTTCCGTTTTATTTGTTCGGATTTACACCCATGTTGCGTCTAAAGAAGTTTTACTTCAAAAAGTTAAAAAATGCTACTTGGTGGTCAAAAATGATCATTAGACATATGTTGTGGACCGATTGATTCTATACAAAGAGCTCGTAATCCACCTCGATGCGGCGGCGACGCAATTAACAGGTTAATGGAATCACAATTCCAGGCAGACAAAGAGTATTTTGCTTAATTGATTTACCAGAAAAACAGTTTCATCAAGTTTGTAGTTAAAATTAGACAATATAACTACCACTATGAATCAATTATAGAAGATCGAAGTAAGAAGTGTTGGTTCTTTCATTGATCCATAAATGACTTGCTTTCGATGACTTGGTAGCGGCACCATAGGAATGGCAACCAATGGTATCATGGCCAATAGAAAACGTACACGTTGTTAAAGTTAGGGTATATAACCCAGACCCATTATCGAATAACATTCACTTAACACTTGTTTTGTGACGATATTACATGTAGTGTAAATGTATAAATGAATATATATTATAGTTATCAATCTATGTTTACATACAACTAATTAATTGACTAGTTTTGACTCAAAAGGAGAATATCAGCGGGAATATAAGGCTATCATGGCAAAATGGATTCGCAAACCAAGGCAGCAACAAAATTCTCTGTGAACTATTTTGGCTTTGCAAACTTAATCTTGTTTCCAGAAACTATTGTTCAAGAAACTGTTTAGAATTTTACAAGATATTCTAACAATAAGTGTATGTATCGAATTATGTGCAACGAGTTTTCAGTTAGTGCAACATAACAAAATAGTAATTTATGCTTTATAATAATTTTAAATATCCATCAATGCCAATGGCTTCTTCCTATCGAAGGAAAATTTTAATTTATCTTTTTAATTTCCTGTGCTTTTTACCAGTATCTATAAGCGAATAATTAGAATGAATATCTTATATATAAAAATGGATCGCAAAATGTGTTGGTAAGCGCATAACTCAACAACGCCTGGACCAATTTTGCCAATTCTTTTGTTTAAATGTTTGTTGAAGTCCAAGGATAGTTCTTACGGCGAGAAAAAATTTAATATAATTGCCGAGAAACCTCTAAAAACAGCCTTTTCTTTTTCTCATACAAACGTTTTCTAACTAAAACGTAGGATCAATTTGAGCTTTATTGCTATTACATAAATTCCGTATTAAATAACAAGCACTCACTTTATACTCCTTTTAAGCGATTATGCGGATTTTGATAAATCTTTCTGAAGTTTGTTAAGGAAATTTTCTAGGATGTATGTGATTATAAGTACCTGGATGTTTGTGCAATATTATAGAAATAAATAAAAAAAAAATGTAAAATACAACATGTCATTCTTTGCATTGAAAACAAATGAAAACTATCATCTGCCAAAAATTTCAATTTACTTATGAACCTAGACAATATTAGAATATGTATAATAAATTTATGATTATGAATAAGAAAAATAAAATGTATACATTATTATTGCCAAAAGGCAGCTGAGATGTATGGCAGATTGAATGATACACATATAAACAGGATGTGACAAATTAATTCACTTAAAATATGAAATTAAGTATTAATCAGGGCCGGTTCTACCTTTAATGCGATGCATGCTAAAAATACGAGCGCACGCCTTCGGGGCGCCAACACAAGATTTGGATATTAAATTTTCAATATAGTTTTTTTTTTCAATATTTCAATTTCTTTGCATCTTTTACTAATCTTTCCACAATATTTTTAAAATTTGTAAAAAATTCACTTTATAACAACGAATGGGAAAGTAAAGATAAATACGAGTACATACAATTCGGTTATCATTCGGTTACAATTTTGAATATCTTAAATAATAAAGACTTTAATTAATTTAATCCAATATGAAGTACCAGTGTTTTGTTATGGTTATGGTTATGTTATACCGTTCAAAAGACTTCAATTTCCAATATAGCGTGGGAATTGAGACTTATCATTTTATTTAAAGCAGTTCTACATTTAACATCGCTCATATTATAAATGTATATGTATTTTGGCGTGAAGAGTAATTTAAAAAACAATAATTATTATTTTTAGGTAAACGGTAAATATTAGTATATTATATTAAAAAATTGTAGACATGGGTATAGGACAATGTTTGTCGGGTCATCTAGTTAATATATAAAATATTTGCACCGAAATGATTTGTATTTTGATCAAAATTTAATTTTTTTAGATGTCTTATTTTATTCACCAAATTGGATGCTTTCTGAATAAAAAATATTAAAATATTAACATAAAAAAATCCGACAACTTATGCATAAGATCTAATCTAATATTTATACTTCGTCATGGTTTGTGGATATTTCACGTTCATTCAGCTTTACACATATTTTAATCCCACTCTAAAAAATTTACGATTAAAATCGCAGTCTGTG